CCACATCCAGTAGCACCGACAGCACAACGAGCACGAGCACCACAAGCACGAGCACCACAAGCACGAGCACCAGCGGCAGCACATCCCGAACCGGCTCCACCTCTACAACAGGCACCATAAGTACGACCACATCCAGTTATACCAGCACCTCAACTCTCACTTCCACGAAATCCACCCTGACAATCACCAGCAGCCGCAGCAGCAGCACCTCTGCATCATCTCTCTCGCAAACCAGCAGGACCACAACGACGTGTACCTCGAGCCTTTTCAGCTCGATTTTCTTTTCTGGGGTAACGGGCGCTCGCCAGAAACCATGTGTCTGTTACTCTCCGGTTCACAGTCGCTGCAGGCATGGGGAATGCCAGGAGAGTCTAGTGGCAAGGGCATAGAAGAACTACCCAACATGGCAGGGCATCCTTTCAGGTCAGAGATGGTTGGGTGTGGGGCAACGTTCGGGGGCCCTCCTAAAGCTGCTCTGCATCTGAGGCTCTGTCACAACCTCCACAGCCGCAACCGAGGAAGCAAGGGAGGAGCAACAGCGTAAAGAGGACTGGACATCGCCGGCTAGCTGCTGCAGTAGCCGTGGGTTAGGGTTTGGGGTTTAAAGCTCCGGGTACCCTACAGTGGCCGTGGTAGCACCCACAGCAAGTGTCCCGGGTAATGTTGTACCTGTTTTAGTGTGTTCCCTCCCCTTCATGAACAGTCGAAGTTGGTTTTTGCTCTCTTTAAACGGTCCAGGAACTTTCTAAAACGTTTTAAATATTTACACGGGAGCTTGGATGAGTTCAAAAGGACAGCGAGGCCCGGCAATTTGTTTTACAGGGGCCCCCCACCAACTTGTTTACGACACCGAATACAGGATCCCACCACGCACCCCCAAACAGCCACAGTGTGCTGAATAGCCCAGCAAAAACATTGCTTTAAACAGGGGGACCCCTAAAGTGCGACATTACCACGACGGCGGGGAGCCATCCTGGGTCCAAGAGGTGGATCGGCTGATCCCCAGTTTAGGGATTCGGGTTTGGGGTTTTGGAGGGCATGATTGCTCTGGGAGGGCTGGGCAAGTCAGTCGCAGGCTCAGAGCTCCACAGTTCAAGGATTTTTAGCGTTGGTTTGTAGCTTTCTTTGGAGCCTTCTTCGTTACCCTAACCCAAAGTAATTCCTACACTCACAGCCTCCCGCAGAACCCACAGAAGCCTACTTCGGAGCACAGCTGTGGAAGTGTGCTCATGTGAAGTGTGAGGACGCCAAAGCGGCCGTGAACAAGATCGAGTCAGCAACACAGGACGCCTTGCGCAAAGCGAGGTTGTTGGATGTTGGTGACAGTTGGGTCTTGATGTGCTGTTCAAGGGTGTGTAACGCGTGTCGAGGGTGTAGCTTGCTGGGGTCTTCTTGAGGAAGTCAAGGCTTTGGTGTAGGAGGCTCGGAAGCTTAGGAGTGGGTTAGGGTTAGTGCTTACCCTAATTGCATGCCAAGCTGCAAGTCTGGACCCTCCAAACGGGGGGTCAGTTAGTGCTTTTGAATGAAGGCAACCGTGTAGGGAAGTTTATGGAAGTTTAGGGTGTAGAGTGTAGGGCTTCAAGACTTATGCGTTAGCCTGATTGTCGGCGTCGGTGCTGGCGTGCGGGGTAGGCTCTAGCTGCGAGGCTTTGTAACCAGTAACCAGGGCCTGCAAGACCCCAGCTTCGGCCTCCTGCTGATGGAAGACACTCACACCACCTCGAGGAAAGCACAATTGACAGCCACGTTTAGCAGCACGTGATGTGTATTTCGCAGACATGAGTGTAGAGACCATGCTTCCATGAGACTTCTTGCTGTGCACGGGAGCTGGAGCATGGACTGCAAAAGCGGCTTGTGCAGTTCTTGCGCTGCTTGCAGATTGATTGAGTGCGCTGAACCAAAGCGGGAATACTCGTTGCTTTGAGCACGTGGCGGAACAAGATCACAATGTCATGGCTCATCGGGGTCAGATGCCTCACACCTTAGACTGATGCGCAGCCAAGGTCGCTGTCAAGGATGCGCTGACAAGCCTTCTGGGTAGCCTGAACGGCCTGAACGGCACAGACAACGCGAGCACAGGCGTGCTAGGCGAAGTGTCCATTTCTACCGATGCCGGAGATGGGAAGGCGCGGATCCGAAAAGCCTGACATGAGACGTAAACCGCAAGACTTTGCCATCCTTCATACACTTCTGGTGACAGTCTGGAACTGTTACCCTCTCGACCCTGGCTCTAGTGTAGCATCCGATGTTCATCGCTAAGGGTGGAAGAAGCTGGACTTACGGGTGAAGCTGAGGGATGGCATTGCGTTTCAAATGCCAACGTTCCACCAGGGCTCGGTTGCACCGGTCATTTTCTCACCTACATCCCACTGCCATCCGAGCAATGAGAGTAACCATGGGCAAACCAAAAAAGCGTCGACTCCTGAAGCCTCTCTGGCGAGGTCGTGGTCTACAGCCCTGAACGCTTGGCAGAATCTGGGGAGCCTGCAAAAGTCAGCGTGGACGACTCAGAAGCCACCGCCGAGGCGTGGATGACCGATTGTAGGGAGATGAGGCCTCAAGCCTTTACCTACACTCATCATCACTCATCTGTTGAGGGCTTTAGGAGTATGTGCAGCTGCCGTAAGCCTTTCCTAGTGCTACCTGCTACCCTGGCTGCTCCTGCCACTGATTGCAACAGGTCCCCGCCGGTGTGCTGCAGCAGGCCCAGGGCTTGGTAGGAGATGGCCATCTGATGCTGAGCGTCGTGGTCATGAATGAGGCCGGAGGAGTTCTCAGCTTTTGGTGGCATGTTGTCACGAAGGTGTGGACCAAGCAACACTCAGGGGAGCGAGTGTAGTTTTACGAAACATGCTCCAGTTGTCATGCAATAACAGGCTTGATGCACTCAGCAATACACTCACCCTAAGGGCCCTTGAGCTACTCTTGACGACTTGCAGCAAAGCAATCAGATGGCTTCTGCTTATATATCTGTTTTCTACTCAGTTGGACTGCAAGACTACCAGGAAGCAGACCAAACTGGCCCTCAGCCGTGAAACATAGGTTACAGTCGCTGTCTGTCACATTCTGTTTTAACTGTCGTCGAGGCTCCATCCTCTATTCCGTTAGGCCATGCCCAGATTGCTCAGGCCCCCCCTCCTATGCAAATTCCCCAATAGTGCCAATTCGCGGCCTTGACGTCCCTGTTGAAGAAGTGTTGCATCCACGGCGTCCCCCCTTTGCTGGAAAATCCTTCGATACCTCGCCAAAGGGGATTTTTCGGGTTGACATTTCGGCTTCGTTGAAGAAGCGGGGGCCGACATTATCTCGCGTAAGTAATCCTCCCAAGGCATGAAAAGCACGATCAGTCGTCCAACAAGCTCACCTTTTGAGCTCCGAAATCAGTAGTCCAACAAGCTTTGCAAATACTTTTGAGAAAAAAGACAGCCAGACAACCCAACATATCAGCTACGAAGATTTTTCACGTTAGCTACTATAGGGTGCCTTGTTGCAGCCAGGAAATGTCTGAGAAGTTCAGCACACCTCCTCCGATCACACAAGAAGGCTGGTGATGGTCGTCTCTTACTTTCTGGTTTCCCCTTCTTTTTTGCTGTGGGGCCCAGCGCAGCACAAAGCACACAGTTCCGAACAGCGTCCCTTTGCGCGCACATTTACGATCCCAGCAGACAAGAGCCGCACCTGGGTTTGGGTTTAGGGGTTAGGGTCTACGGTTTAGGGTTTGGGGTTTTGGGTTTAGGGTGTCGCAGGAACCCCCGTGCTCCCGTGCCCGCGGGTTCAGGGTCGTACGTTATCAAGTGAAGGTTAACAGTCTCTTGTTTTTTTGGTTCTATTTTCTCAACGGACGTTGTTGTTAGTCTAACTGTCTGTGTTCCTTGGGCAGGGGTGGGCGGGGGCGGGGGGCCGGGTCGGGGCGAGCGGGAGTCGGGGCGAGCGGGGTTGAAGGAAACATCGCACCCTATACGCGTAGCAACAAAAAGCATGCGGCGCAAGAAAAAAACACTGAAAACCATGCAGTCCGGGATTGAGGGGCAGAGTTTGGGGCAAAGACTGAAGAGTATCCTGAGTTCGGCTTGTCTGTTTTTGGTATCCCGCATAGCTCTGTTGCATGGAGCCTCTTCCAGGCACCCAGTTGCCTTAGCGACTTTCGCCCCCGAAATGCCTCCAGCTAGCTTGGGTAGAGCAACATCCGGAGCAGGCCTTCAAGAACAGCAAGGCCCCGTGACGACCTTGCTGTCGGCGCCCTTGGTGATCAACATCCGCGACGAGAATGGAACCGTCATCGACATAGGTTCGAAGCCCAAGACCTGAGTGCCGGATGCCGAAGCTTTGTGTCCTGAAAGCCGCCAGATATATCAGTGGTCCTCCCTTCGGCCCCCCCTCCCAAATAAAACCACGGGCCCCCTGTGAGGCCCGCTGAAAACTCCGATGACGGTTCAGCTGGAGGACCGCACAAGCCGGGATGGGGCAGGGCTCCCAAACACAAAGCCGTAAATCGTGCTGTGTTTCGAAACCTCAAGCTCTTTTCAACTGCCTATAAACTCCCTAAATAGCCTTAGATACACCAAACTACACTAACACCCCGAAGACCCCAGAGACCCAATAAAAACCTGAAAAAGCCCCGAGACCCTGTGAGGTCAAGAAGCGGAGGTTGGACCAGGCAAGGTTGGCGCTCCCTCCTTTGCTTTGAGGATTCGTCGGGGAGGTTTTTGGAGTTTCAGGGAAAGAGGGGGGGGGAGATCTGCAAGGTTGCAAGGAAAGTGAGGAAAGGGGGAGGGGGGGGGGCTTGCAGGGCTTCAGGCTTTTGGGCTTGGGGATGAAGATTTGGATCGGGAGATCGGGAGGGTTTGATAGCGCAGCCTTGCGACATCGAATTTGAGTGTTCGCGGTCAAGTCAGCATCGCAAGGAGTTTCTGCGCAGGGGATGTCAGTCGTCCAAGTTGCTGCCGCGATTGCAGGCGAGCAACAGTGCCGGCAGAAAATGTGCCTATTGGGATGAGGAGCGAGCAGTTTGGGACACTCACTTCACGAATTCTGAAATAAATTTCGCTTTCGTGTAGCCGAGCAGCTGGGACCTTAAAAATTGCTCAGCAGGGGCGCTATAATGAAATGTGAGCTGTTGGCTGTGCACTTGCGCCGTATCTGAGAAGCTAAGGAGACGAATCCGAAGGAAATCGAAAGCATCGAAGGCGATGAGGCTAAGCCTGGCCTTGTGCGCTGCAGAACGAAACGGATGGCCATCTTTAGTGTCGTGCTGGAGGAGCTCCGGGGAAATTAAACCGCAGAACGCTTAAGGATTAAGTCTTAGAGATTCTAAGAGCCTTTCCTGAACTCCTAGATCCGAATCTTGACACCTGTGTCGCGGGCAGCTGTCGCATGCTGTCGCCCAAACAAACCCCTTGGCTCCGACAACTGCAAGGAGTTCGAAAACACCCTGAAGTGCAGCACGCTGGGACAGCTGCTGACCGCAGACGCGCTTGCGAGCCTTTCCAGGAGCCCCTCTCTTCAAGCTGACAGCTGACGTTCAGGTGACGTGTAGGGTTCGGAGTTGGAGTGGTGTTGCAGAACCGGTTTGATTCCGGCCTCCGTCTTGCAACGATCGCGAAGCTTCCGCATCTCCCCCGACAGCAGCTCGGCCTTGAGGGGCCTAAAAGGCCTGAAGATCTTCGGCTTTGACCTTGGGCAGATGTGCGCATCCCGCTAAAAGAACTTCGGCGTACCCAGAGGTCGCCCATGAAGCACCCGTAGCTTCGTGCATGAACTCTCGTTGCGACGGAGCCCATGTAGCCGATATACTCCTTGTCTGAAGGACTGACTGGCTGCTGCAGATGCCCACACTCGTGGTGCTGTGCTTCCTATTCATGCTCCTTGGCTCCTTTTTTGCTTAGGCAGGAGCCATCAACCCTCGAGTAAACATATCATCATCTCTGAGGGTTTAGGGTTCCTACACCCCCAAAGGCAACACCTCTTGGTGCGTCGAGCTTGCTCCGACTTCGGTACCTTAAATCATCTTTTTGAGCACTTTGAGGGTCTCACTTGGGAAACACCAAGCCTGCGTTTTTCAAGTTCTCAAAAGTTGTGAAACAGCAGGGCCCCCCGTCCTCTCAAACGCAGCTGAGGTCCGGCCTGGTACTCTGCTACGCCAAATGCAAAGATAGTCAGGCATGTGTGTCGGGTTTTTGGGGACGGGGAGACTGAACGGGCTCCTCTTCGACCCTTTTATCTCCTGTATCCGTCTGCCAGGCAGAAGGGGAGCTTTCAAGAGAGAAGCGTGAGACGATGCTGGAACAGGCGGGAGCGACACAGCCGCGCTCCTTAGCGCGAGAGTTCGCCTTTTTGGGTGAGAGTTCAGTTTTGTCAGCGTTCATGGCATTGTTTTTTTTTTTCTGTTTCGGAGCTGCACGGTTATGGGGGCGTACGGTCAGGAAGCCGGCTTGGGACTTGCGTATCAGAATGCGGCCCCTGCCCCAGGGGCAAGATGAATCGACCGCTGCGCAGACAGGCTGTGGTCGCCTGGCAGGTCGCTCTTGCGGCCAGGGCTGAGTTTGGGGGACCTTGGGAGTCTTGGAGGGATCTCAAGTGTTCATAAAGGAGGCCGTTTCTTAATGCAAGAGAAAGAGCTCTTTCACCAGGGTTTCTATCGGTTTTTCAACGTTTCTCGGGGGCTGCATCGAAGACGTTCGAAGCATGCCGAACGTGCTTCGGTAGTAGACAGTGCTGCAGTAGGCGTGCCGAGGAGTGTGCATCGAAGTTCTGCTCCCTGCAGGGAAAGTTCGGCAGCTGGCACAGGACTGTGTTGGAACGATGGCAAGTGTCATCAAGCCCGAGAGATTCATCAACAAGTGCGTCCGAGAGGTGCTCGCATACAGGACTGCAGGGACTGCTTCATGAGTTCAATACGTCTCGGCGTATTACAGG